CAGCTGCCTTAACCAATCATTGGGGGAGCAACTTATGCCCCTGAGCACATATACATTCGTAGATGAACATTTCTTCATAGCGGCAACAAAGCTTTTATGCAGGTTGTCGATAAATTGAAATATTAATTCAGGGGGTCTGTAACAGACACCAAGTTTACACAAGTTCTTTGACAGGCAGCGCAGATAATCTCAACTGAAGACGATGTATCAACTTAGCAGGACAAACTTTTTTTATTTTTTTTATTTATTGAGAGCAGGACAACACCCCACCCCTTTCTATCATTACGATCGGGCCGATAAATATTAAGTAGGTCACCTTCTGCAATTATTTAACTGTCAAAAACATCGTGGTGCAACCATATTTCTGTCAGTACTATAATGCCGGAATCGGTGTCGTCTCTTAAAGAGCAGAATATGCTAGGCTTCTTTAGTAAAATCCGCCTCTGTGGATCCGTGGCTAGGATGCTCGGCTGCTGACCCAAAGGTTGCGGGTTTGATCCCGGCCGGGGCGGTCATGTTTCGATGGAGGTGAAATGGTAGAGTCCCGTGTACTGTGTGATGTCCGTGCACGTTAAAGAACACCAGATGACCGAATATTCCGGAAGCCTACGATACGTCATCTCTCATAATCATATCGTGGTTTTGGCACGTAAAACTCCATATTGAAACTCGCCGAGACAAGAAGAAGAAGACAAGAGGCACGGAAGAGCGTGCGCGTTAATAAGCAAATAAAGAAATGAAGATTCTTGCTGTTCACATTGAACGCAGTCCAAGTTTGTCTCGTTTTTTGCGACATGGTGCCGTGACCAGGATAGTCGCTTCTCTTTTTCCCACTGGCCGCGGAGTACCAGAATGAAGGACAGGCCACATAGGACGGACGAAGAGGAGGCCCAGTGCGAACCGACGGCAGCGAGACGGGACATCGCCATCTGAGAGAGCGGCACAGACACGGAGGACAACTCAGACACGGATGAAGATTCGCCGCTGAAATCTGTAAGCGACCAGCCGTTTCCTCAATTATTCAAAATGAACAGGGAAGTAATTTCGAAGAAAATAGAAACGCTTAGGACGAAATAACCCAACTAGTGAGCGAAGCAGAAAATAAGCTTCATGAGAGTAAAGACCCTATGGCAATATCGCTGATAGCCAGCCAGATCAGAGGCTTCGCCGACATGGTAAATAATGTTGACGAACAGATGAAACAGTTCATAACGCCAGAAACAGCGGAAGCAGAGTTTGCGAGGACCACTGAATACGAGCTAAAGACGATTAGTATTTGCATAACATCAATGCTTACCTTTGTGGACAAGAACAGCGTGAGCCAGTGAGAGAACAAGGCACTTCCAATGACAATGCCAGGCAAGCGCCGCAAGAAAATGTAGTACAGCTAACAAAGGCAGAATCAATGAAGTTTGATGGTGACAGAAAGAAGTGGCAGAGATTCTGGCATCATTCTGAATCGGCTGTTCACGTAAGAACAGAATTAAACGAGAATCAAAAGTTCACGTACGTTCTGTCATCACTAACAGGGAGAGCGGCAGCTGCCGTGGAGGGACTTCAATATTCAGACAGCAACTATGTGAAAGCTATCGACATGCTCAAGCAGCGATACGGGAAAGACAAGGTGCCTATAAAAATGCACATGAAAGAGCTAACTAACTTGAGTACAGCAGCAAGCTGCAGTGACTATGAAGACTGTCAGGCAAGGTACAAGTGCATACACATGGGCTTGAATCCTTAGACGTGAAAATCGAGTCCTATGCATCGATGCCACTACCAGTATTGAAAAGATATTTACCTGTAGAGAGCCACAAGGGGTTTCAATTGAAACAGAGACAATAGGTAGGCCTTCAGATCAAGATCAGAATGCAACTAAACATCATGACGAAACTCTAAAGCATTTGATGAGGTATATAAAAGACCAAGTTAAGTGTAGAGAATCAGTAGAGCGGAAGGAAAGCCACGGCAACAAATTTTACACTAGGCAACAGAAAATAACTGTTAATTTTCAGAGCACCACGGCAAAGTTTTGCATATTCTGTGCGACTAATATCCGCTATTTTTATGGCTGCAGAAAGAATATGCCGTAGGCAGAGAAAAAAAAAATGAAGCTAAAAGCGTCTCATAGATGCTTCCGTTGCACGAGGCCTCGACATACCGCCAAAATGTGCATGACAAGCATAAGGTTCAAGATATGCGGGAAAAGGCACGCAACGTCTATGGGCCGAGAAAAGGAACTCGCAGCGCAGTGTACAGCGGCCATTCAAGGTAGAAATGAAAATGAGAAATAGAAAGGGTCAACCTGTTAATATACGAATATATCGTCAAGCATTTTTCTTCAGACTGCATTGGCAATAGCAGAAGGTAGAAACAAGTCGAGCTATTGTCGGGTTCTGTTGGACACTGGTAGCCAAAAAACATTCATCCTTAAGAGCTTGTCAAAAAAAGCTTGGTTGCCCGGTCAAAGAAAAAGAAAGACTGACCATAGGCTCTTTCGGAGAAAGACAAGAGGAAAAGACTGCATTCAGGTTAAGTGAAACTTATAAGCGCATGTAGCGGCGAAGAAGTTTTGTTGGAAGCACTTGAGGTTGACGGTGTATCAAAAGAAAGAATACCGTTTTTTCCAGTCTCACAGAAGAAGTATGAAGACGACGGATTAAAGTTGGCTGACGGTTTATGTACAAGCACAGACTAGAGAGAAATAGGAATCTTTATTAGATCAGACCAGTACTGGAAAATAATGACCGGAGGCATCCGAAAACTGGAAGAGAAGCTGACAGCAACAAAGACCATATTTGGTCATAAGGTGCAGGGCGAAACTAAGTTAACTGCAACATTAGTTAAATGGTCAACCGTTATGATACTTCACGTTAAGTGCTCAAGTCCGACATAGAGACAGAGCCTAGGCATTTCTGGGACATAGAAACCATCGGCAAAAAATGCACGGAGCAAGACGTAAAAAAGAAAGTGTGGTTGAGTACTTTATCAAGAACTTAAAGTGTGAAAAGAAAAGATACTCAGCACGACTTCCATGAAAAGATACCGTGAAGCTTGATGAAATCAAGGGTGTCACAATGACCAGATTGAAGCAACTCACTCGAAGGTTACAGAAAGACAAAAGTGTATTGCGATGTTAAGACAATGCCATCAGAGAGCACTTGACTAGTGGATCGGCAGAAGTGGCAGAGGAACAAAGGGCACAACTGGCACACTGCTACTACATGCCGCATGAAGCCGTCATCAAGAAAGATCGTCAAACAACCAAGATAAGGCTAGTACTTGATGCGTTATTGTCGTCCACAAAAGGGTCACATCTAAATGGTAACCTCGAAACTGGGCCAAATCTCAATTGTGATCTCGTGCACATGCTGATTACCTTCCGACACTATTGCATGGCAGTGACAGCTGATATTGAGAAGTCATTCTTACACATTTCAATACATGAGGAAGACAGAGACGCGCTGCATTTTCTTTGATGGGATAAAATTCCGAGTGGAAGTGATGCCAAGATGGTAACATGAATAATATCAAGAGTTACGGTTAGCACTACCCCCAGTACTTTCTTGTTCGCAGCAACAGTACAGCACCACCTCAGCAAGTCGGAGGAGAAATTTCCGCAGACAATTAAACAGCTAAGAAGCAACATCTACCTCGACGATATAAGAATGGGAGCAAATCACCCAAGGAAGCCAAACACTTTACTAGAAATCACAGGAAATTTTTCAAGATGTGTCAATGACTCTCAAAAAGTTCAACACAATTGAACCTTGATTACAACAAAATATAAAAAAGAGGAAAACGCAAGCTTCGGGGCTTCCACTGCAACAAAGGTCTTTGGCATCAGATGGGACTTCAAGGAAGATAGGCTGTACCTACCATTGTTTGACATTAAATAATAGCGCCGATTAAGCAAATCTTATTACCACAACTTTAGTAGATGGCTGCGTTGATGTCTGCACGTATTTTTGAATACATAAAAAGCGGATTTGTAAGAAATATCAATGCTACAAGATACTGGAGGTACACGACCATTGTTCTTAGTTGGCTACACGGAAAGAAAAACGAGACATCTTTGTAGAGAATAGGGTGAAGGAGATAAAAAAGAAAATGAAGCTATCAGAGTGGAAATACATTGCAAGTGAATAGAACCCAGCTGATCTCATGATCAAAGGTGTAAGCGCAAAGTCTTTGATACAGTCGGAGCTATGTTGGCATGGTATAAAGTGGCTTGTTACGAAAACCAAAACTGCAGGGCAGACGGAAACGGAAGAAGACACTGAGAGTAGTGCATGTTATGCAACTAACACATTCACGTCAGTGCTCGTCGTGATGGACGCAGAGAAGTATGGAACCTACATACGATTGCTCAGAGTAACAGCTTGGGTGCTGAGATATATACATATTATAAGAAACGAGTGCATAATCGGCGATCTGAGTTTTGAGTAACTGAATAATGCAGAGACCGCGATAATAAAATAGGAGCAACGAAAGATACGGGAACACATTATACATAACAAGAGCAATACGACTAAGACAACATGGATGTTTTTTTGTGGTAGGGAAGCCTTTGAAGATGAACAAGGGCTAATAAGGCACAAGGGTCGTCTGTCTCAAAGTGGACTGACATACAACAAAAAACATCGAATTGTGCTACCGGAGTGGACGGCCGCTACAAAGCTGATAGTACGACATGTGTATCAACTCGCGTTACATGGAGGAGTCACTGCAACACTGCCACAGCTTAGAAAGAAATAGTGGATAATCCAAGGAATGCAGCTGGTGAAGAAGGTTAGTCATGGATGCTTAAAGTGTAAATAATTTGACGCTAAACCAATTAAGCAAGACACAGCATCCTTGCCTGCTGACAGAGTAAACTACCAAAACCATTTGAAGTGACTGGGGTAGATTTTGCAGGCCCGATGCTTATAAAAGACGCCGTTAAATGCACGACAAAACTGTACATTGCAGTATTCGTGTGTGCAACAACAAGAGCTGTACATTTAGAAGTTGTCGACAGCTGTAAAACAGAAGAATTCTCACATGCATTCAGAAGTTTTACAGCGAAAAATGGTTTATGTCACACAATGTATAGCGACGACGCAAAGACATTCAAGAAAGCCAACAAAGAAATCAATCGTATGCTTAAGGAATTACAAGAAGAAGTCTCTATAAGAGCTAACCAAGGAGGTAAAATAAAATGGAAGTTTATTACCGAAGAAGTGCCTTGTTGGGGAGGCTTCTATTAAAGGATAATGCGAAGCATGAAATCATTAATCAGGAAAATCATCGGAAAGAGGCTGCTAACCAGGGAAGAGATGGAAACAATAACCACTGAAGTTGAAGTGGTGCTTAACAACAGGCCGTTAACGTATGTATACAGCGAACCGGATGAGCCGCTACCTATCGTGCTGGCTGACGTGATAGGTGAAAAATACTGACTTTCAGGCAATGGCGAAGTTCAACACAAAGTCAGAATCGAATAAATATGAAGAAAGCGGCAAAACGTCATGAAAAATTGGTGCAAAAGATGGAACAAGGAATATCTGAAGGTATTGAGAGAGCAAGCTTACGCAAGTAAACAAGAAACGAGAGTGAACCGAGTAGACATCGTATTGCTTGGTTCACGCATTCCTAGACCACTTTGGAACCTGGCTGAAGTCATGGAAATTTATTCGGGAGTCGATGGGAAGATATGCTCCTGCCTTTTGAAAACCAATGAAAAATTCATTCAGAGACCTGTACAACATATCTACCAACTTGACGGTTGTTTCCAATGGGGAGAACAAAACTTCATGTGGGCCAGAAGCTATTGAAACTCGCCGAAGACAAGGAGAAGAAGAAGAAGACGAGAGGCACCGAAGAACGCGCGCATCAATAAGCAAATGAAAAAAGAAGATTCTTCCTTTTCGTTCACATTGAACGCATACCAAGCTTGTCTCGCCTCCTTTCTGTGACACTCGACATAATATTATTTTTAGTAGGCAACATACGTTGGTGATATAGCTATATAGCAATGCCTCAGTATGACGGACTGGTTTAAGAGCTTGCGCACCAGTGTTTTTATTTAACTACCTGCTACAGAGTACAACGGTGTCACTTTCAACATCATAAATGTATTCCTTGTTATTATTGCGCATTTTGTGAAGGGACAATTTGTGGGGTTTGTCTTGCATTCTTGCATGTTCCAGTTTTTTTCTTGCCAAATGAGTGCTCAGCGCAACATCATTTCGAATAGAAAAATGGGAATATTGTAGCTTCTTCGTGGAAACAAGACTGTTTTTTGTCCTTAAATAGGACAAGTTAAGCAATTATCGGCCAGCATTTGTCCAGAGCGAATCAGCCAATTCAATACACTCGCTCAGACTGGTCACTTGACAAAGTAAGCTGTAACCAATTAGTGCAAAATTTGATTACTTTCAGCTCTGAATTCGTCCCGTCTTAACTGGCCTCAACGCTGATGCAAAAAGAAAGTAACCTTAGTCTGGGCTGTCTGTTTTTGGCATTCTTGCATCTGGACGTTGTTGATTTTAACTGGCGTGAAATTAACAGGATACATTCAGGTGTATCTGTTCGGGAAGGCTTATGTAAATTGAAGGTGCACACAAGTGATGTGACTATATTCTTAATGGTTTTAATCTCAACGTCTGTGGCATCCTGCCTCTCTTTTATCCATTTACTTTTGTTCAAAATGCAGCTTGGCCTGCTCCTCTTAGACGCACAATGTCTAATAGAGTCTTGTGGTCCAGGGTCAACTTCGACATCCTCCGATAGCAAAACACGAGACACAGTAATAAATAGGAATTTGCACAAAGCAGCCTAACGCACTCTTCACGTAGAGAACTTAACAAGGGCATGGCATCGCTATTAAACAGCAATCATTGCACCTAAAGCCATTGGCATTGTCCAGGGAAGATTTTAATAACAGGAACTGTCACACAAGATATCAACAAAACACAAACTTTTCTAGCCGAGCTATGTGAGAAGCCACGAGATGGCAAATCTGTGATGGCAACTATCTGTGCTCTCACTTACCCTTTGGCGCGTACACATTCCAGCTGCATTCCGATTCATGTTCATACAGCTTCGGAAAGCCGAAGGAGTGCGATGCACCACCGGTCCGGTTAGCGATCACCATTGTCTCGCACACTGCAGGTCCAAAACAGTTCAGCTCATAATGGCCGTCTGAAAATGCAACTACCAGATTCATTTTCAGCGAACATTCTGTATAGGCAGTTTATTTCGAGTGCCTTTGACTGTCCCCACGCTTCAAGCCCCACTATAACGATTGTCCCCAAGCGGAGCACTTCGCAGGGTTGAGGTTTCGCTGCTGAACATGATATCAAAACCCGATGTTGTAGCAGCCACATGCCAATGAAGTTACAATGCAAATAACAAAAGAAACAAAAAGTTAGCTGATCCCCGCTAATACTATACTTGGCGTTCGAGATAACGTGTGCGAAGAATCTTGAAAACGAGGTAAATCGTAGCTGGCTGAAAGCAACGACATATACTTTGCAATCATGTGGTGCTCATCATAATATACATTCTTTAATATTCCGCTGAATTCAGTACACAGATAATATCAAATATTCAAAAAAATTAACTTCTTTATAACCAGGTGCGTTTCTTTATGTCAGATAAAAGTCAGAAACCCCCGACTGATTAACTTGCTGACAAGGTGCGTACTATATGCTACGTAGTGATTTTTTCCGGTGCTTGGAGAAAGCCTGCGAAATATGAAATGAAACACCGTGACTGCGCTCGTTTGGTATCGTATCACAGTGCTCTCAACGTGCTTCGAGTGATAAAGCACTTCACATAAACTAGGGTGAAGTGAGCCGCCACGGCTCCATGCCTCGGCAATACAGTGCGTCCGCACCTTCCGCTGCGGCACGGAAAGCACGAATCCCCGTCTTCGATTAGCGAATACCTCGCGCGAAGCTCTTCGGGTCGAATCACAGTTGAGAGCAATGCTGTACGATAGCACATGTGCGCAGTTCGTAGTATTATTTCATATTTCGCAGGCTTGAAATTTTTTGAAACGCGGATAAGTACACCCCGCACTAAGCGCGGCGACAAAAAATGCATTGGTCACTTCTGAGTCTCCATATAACGAAATGGCCAAGACTTACAGTAGTTATCTTTGTCATTTAAATAACGAAGTGAACAATAAATATTACGGCAGATCCCGCGTATTTGGGAATCGACGTTATGCGAAGCATGCGGAGGGCAGGTGACCGTGTTGCAATATTTTCATTGAGTGACACGTCATGAAATGACGCTAAATATATGCACAAATGTTGCACGCATAGACATATGTGTAAGAGTTGCAGATGATTATATAACCAGTTGTTTGCACTTTCACAACGATGCCTACTGGAACATGCGTATTAGCAACACCAGAAGCTTATATGAAGCGCTGATGCTCGCGAGGATGCTGGCCCTGGACACCACTGCATAAATCAACTTCAGTGCATGGCAACTAACCACAATTGACGTTAACCCTACGTGACGGCTGTATCAAAGGTGTGCGTATGTAATGTTTATAAAAGTGGGCAGGCAGCACTGCGACCACTACTGACGTGTCATGAAGATTAGCGTCTATTTAGAAAGTAGTTCCGAGACCTGGCTTAGCTCTGTGGTAGAATGCTTGGGTTCGATTGCAGCTAGGACCCTGGCATTTATTCTTTGCATTCGTCGAGTCGACGCTACCAATGTCGGGTATTTATAAATGCTCGCGCGTTAAAATTGCCCATGCGTGTTCTCGTCGTTCTTGAGTAGATACTAAGTGTCAATCACCTGTGGCACATACCCGCATACCAGCAGCACATAACCGCCCGTGGGTAAGTGCCACTGTCTGGTGGGATGTGTTCGATGACGTACGTGACGGGATTGTGACATTATTTATGTCTTGACCAGCGCGTCATATTTGTCAAACCATCCTTCTATGCTAATTTTGGTTCATGCCAAGTGAAGGGGGTGACCACGAGAGCACCCAAACGTAAGCGGCTAGATAAATAGATATGCTCTAAGTCACCGAAGTTCGATAATAAATGCTTCGCATTTAAAAACACCAACGAGTTCCACTTGAAATCAAACCATAAATAGTTGGTTTCGCTCAGGTGCAGTTAGCCGCTATTTTAAAGTCTTTGTTGTAGTCAATGCTACGAGGCTAGATGAATGAGGAAGCACAAACCTAAAGAAACTGCTAAGCGACCCATGTGTTTCCTGCTTCTGGTCATAGATGATCATGCAGGCGTGCGCTCAAGCATGTGTACCTGATCGAAAGCGGAGTCTGAAGTGCGTGAGGGAGTCGCGGTGCTCGACGTGCAGCTTCACACGCACCTCGTTGTCGATGCCCACCACGGGCGGCGGAGGCTCGGCCGAACAGCGCCGGGGCATCAGCTGCATGTGGCTGCCCCGGTTCAGAAAGTAGGCCTGCACCACGAGTTGACAGCCAAGCTTCGCTCACGCGGCTGCTCGAAGCAGTCCTTCCGCCGGACCATGAGGAAAAGCAAGCCTTTACACTCAATAAATAACGTACACCAAAGGCGTAATCATAAAGAAGTAGGGGGATTTGGACCACGTTTTAGCATCCCCCCCCCCCCCATAAAATTAGTTTCAGAGCATATATTCAGTTACTTGACAGTGATGTATACTGCACTCAACTTTTTCAAAAGGCTGATTAGCTTTTAGTCTGTACCTGCGTCCAGTACCTCTCAGCCGTAGAAAACAATCAAATGCAGAAAAGCCGCTCGTCTGGTTAAAAGAAGGCTGAAAAAGCGATGCAGTTGCTTGTGGATTGACCTCGTGCTTGTTTTTGTTATAGTTTTATTTCAAAACATTATTTCAATTTAACGTAAACAAAAGTACAACCAATATTTAAAAAGAATGGCTGCCATGATCCTATGTACCGTGTTCTTTTCTACATTTACGCCATTACCCCTACGAGCAGCAGGAAACATGGCAAAGCCCCTGGAGATCACCTGTGGGATGAGAAAAACTTTCGCTGCATTTCTTTTTTTTAGTTTTGATTTTCACTAATATATTTGGTAGGGGACTCTTGAAAACTAATAATGAAGAAGGCTCGTAGATAACCCTCCATTTGTTGAGTGTTTCGAAACTCCTTCAAGAAGTACTGCAAGGCCCATTTATAGTGTTTCTTGCAGGTTTTAAACAGAATATTTTGAAGAGAAAATCCTTAAGAAACAAAGAAAAGAAAAAATAAAGTAAGAAAGAACAAAAGGTGAATGTTGGAAAACAGCCATATGTACGAAAACCGAAAGAGCATATCATTTAACGTTGACATCGTTATATAATTAATTAGGAATGGTTCGAAGGAATCAGTGAGTGGTGAATGCGCTATAAAATGCTCTAAAAATGCATGGCAAATTTATAATCATTCAATTGCTAGTCATAGCTGTGTCGTCACCTCTTCTGTCCTCGTTCAAGTAGTTGGCTGAAACCCCCTATGTGCAACCAACGAGCTCAGGCAAGCAAAGTTCTAATACTGGTGTCACACGAGCACTTTTCATCGTGATCAGTGTCAATCCGTATTAATCATCATCCAGATTGGGTGCTGCTATGCGGGCACCTTTATTCATTATCAGTAGTGATCGCCATCGAGATTATCATTATCCACGCATCGCGATCTGCTTGAGAGATCACAATTTCGCTGTCGTGTGCACCTCCGGGGGAACTTGAAAGCACAATGAACCAGAAAATCAAGCATAGTTTAAAAACAACTCTTTCAAACTGATATTTATAAGAAAGTAAATTCTAAACGGGCTAACATAGAACAAGATCTGAAATGGCACATCTTTTGCGATTTGTATCGACTGCCTGTAGTATGGAGTTGCAGGCGACAAGCAGACGACCGTTGCCTTCCACGCTTAGTCCAACTCGCGCAATGTCGGAGCTGTTGGAGCGCCTTTCAATGACCGCGCAACGTACACGCATTTTGTGGTCGAGTGAAGAGACATAAATTTACAGTTGTTGACCACTGGCAAGAGCGGCTCGAAGACTTGAGGTGCTAAAAGTAAAACTCTAGTACGTACACCTAGATGGAGACGTGTCGCTGCGACTGGACGGCTACGAGCGGTGGTCATCAGAAACAAAAGCGAAGGTTTAAGAATCTCACACAGTTACAGAGATAAGTGCAAGGAAAACTCCATCATGTGATGGATTTATGTAATTACTTTAGTAGTGGCACGCAAAGTTTTTGACGTTCGAGCGGTTCTTGCACGAATCACATTGCTGATAAATGGCTCTATAGAAAAATAGTACGCCGATTCTAGTCAGTGGCGTATGGCTGGATGTATGGAAGCTGTGAGCGTCCCTTTTACCTGTCATGTGTGCTATACCAGGTTCGCAAGAAAAAACACGAAATCTTTCTCGTTATGTTGCCTTAATGTCTTATTTACTTCGATTAAATTGATCATATTCTAACAAGAAATTTGAATTTGTGTTCCATCTCTTCGGCTCTTCAGGCAGACTGACTTATTTTTTCCACTATTTCTGTACTTTATCTCTACTTTTCTGCCACCAGTACTCTAACCGTCTCTTGCTTGTTTATATCGCGGGCGTAATCAGCTTTCCATGCTTGTCCCTGAAACCCAAAGCCTCGTGAAGGCTTGTACCCACAAGTATACCTAGGTGGATATTAGAACATTCAATCTGAACATGTTCCATAGTTTCCTTAACTCCCTTACAGCATCCACATTGTTCTTCTTTTTTACTGAATATCGCTTTACAACTACGCCTTCTAAGGCAAACCGACCTCGCTTCGAACAGGCAACACGACCTCGCTTCCCTTTGAATTAGCATAAAAACTCTCCCACCTTCTTTCGTTCTTGCCTTTTCGGTAGTTACTGACAGCCGGATTCTTTTCCATCGCTCTCATTCAATAAATCCTCTACGCCTCTCTGACTTTTCGCTCATCGTTTTTTGTTGCCCTGTCGCCCACAGTGCCAGCCGTATCATTACTGGTTAGCCTCCTAGTTCTTTTTCTCCACTTTGTGTCCGCGCTCTTCCTATATAAATACCTGAACACCTTCCCCGCCCATCAACTCTCATTCAATTTCCTAAGGCTCTCTTCAAAACTCATTTTGCCCTGAGCTTCTCTCATTTCAAAGCCTGTCCATCCCATGTACCCTTTACAGCCCCATTCATCATGTTACCTTGAGCGCCCAACGCGAGACATGGATGGATGGATGGATGGACGGACGGACCGACGGACTGACTGACTGACTGACTGACTGACTGACTGACTGACTGACTGACTGACTGACTGACTGACTGACTGACGGACGGACGGACGGACGGACGGACGGACGGACGAACAAACAAACAGGCGGGCGGGCGGATCCGGCTGTTTTCTTCAGACCGGGCGGTGGCTCACGCCACCTAGCCATAAATCTAAGTCCTATTACTATGTGTTTAAGGATTGAGTTTCACTCGCACCTAGATTGTAGCCACCAATCAGTTAGCCTCCTCCTGGTTATTTCTACCCGTTTAGAGTCTATTTTGCCTTCACTGTCCCTAAACCCCAATGAACTTTAAAAATTCGGCGCCAATATTTTCGACAATAGGGCGGAGCCCTTTACAAAACATTATCAAATGTTCAGCTGTGTCCTCCTCTCCACACGCACTACCTACCGTGTCTACGCCTTCGTATTTGGTTAGTTACGTCTTGTTCCGCAATACTCCCATTCTGGCTTTGAACAGCAGAGAACTAGCCAGCGAATAATCGTAGGTCTTTTCTTTTTCAATTTCCTGCTTTAAAGTTTGGTAGGTATCCAGTGGTGATTTCGTAAGCATTTCAATCTTCCTCTTGTTGCTCTCTGTTTCTTTCACCTTCTTCTTAACCGGCGTTTCCTTTAGGCTTCGTATTCTGCTGTTGTCTAAGTAATTGCTTGACAATTGCCAAGTTCGTTTCTCTTTTTAGTATCAACATTCTTCATGTACCAGTAGCTGAAAACTTTCCTTAACCAACGCTCTTCTCCCATTTTTCTCAATCGCTCCTCAAATTCTCTCTTGCTGCTAGCTTCCCTGCACTCGAACGATGTCCATCCTATGTCACCCTCTACCCCCTAATTTAGGGTATTCCCGTGTGCTCCCAAAGCACGTCTACCTATTCTACGCTGTTTAACTTCCAATCTCGCTTGAACTTCTGGTTTCAGGCACAAGACCGCATTTATGAACGTCGAACCCTGGGCCATGACACTCTTTCAAATCTCTCTCACAAGGTCATACCTATTGTAGTTCGGCAGTGCCCTATTTTTTATTACAGCTGCATTTATGTTACCCTTAGTCATTACGTGTCTTTAGTGCTCCCTTAGGTACTCAGCCCCGTTATTTATTCATACGCCCAAATACTTGTATTTATCTACTATTTATAGCGTGACTTCCTCCATCTTATGCTCACTGCCTTTGTTATCAATAAAAACCATGATTGCCAATTTTTCTCAGCTGAACTTCAAATTTAACTTATCTCCCTAATTACCACAAATGTCTATAAATCTCTGCATATCTTTCTTGTTGTCAGCTATTAATACTATATCATCTGCGTTCATCAATGCTGGTAATGACTGTTCAATGAGTTTTTTTTTTTTTTTGCTTGGCAAAAGAGAGGCTCAAGCCGAGTTGACTCCCCTCTAATTTGGCTTCTAGTCCTTGTAGATATAGCATCAATTACAAAGGTTACAAGGGACATCCCTGTCGAAGCCTGCGCCGTATTTCTATAGGTTCGGATACCTGTCCTTCCCATTTTATAAATACCTTTTTTTTATAGATATCCTTTGAAAGATTAGTTATTCTATCTTGCACATCTAGTGTGTCCAGTATTCCCCACAAGTGAATCAAGCTAGCTAAGCTCCCTTGATATCTAGAAATGCCAGCCACAGAGGCCTGTGTTATTTTTCCGCTATTTTAATGCACTGCATTGTGGACTGTTTTACAGCAGACAAGCGCCGCCTGGTGCATTTCATCTGATCCAAGCTCGAACTGAATTAGCTTGCGCCATGTAGGAGTGGTCATAAAGTTGATCGCACTCGAGAAAGTGAATCGTCCTAATCGCAATTAAAACTGCTCGTGTGACACCGGTATAAGACACACACACATGCACGACGCTCCTGCGTTACACGTTGTCCTTTTTATTTTAAAATTTCTTCTGCTTTTGTGCCCAGTTGCCTTTGCAATGCAGTGGTGATACATAGTGTGACACATATAGGCGAATAGGTTTTTGTAAAAATAAGAAACTAATGCCTTAGATCAATTGGACGTTATATCAGAAACCACAGTGAACGATGCACAGTGAATTAAAACAGTAATTAAAAATAATTGTCAGGTGTTTTCGTTTGAAAACCCTATGGTTATGAGGCACGCCGTATTAAAGGGCTCCGGAAATTCTGAGCATCCGGTGTTCGGTGACGTGCACCTAATCCTGGCACACAAAGCATTTGACGTCCTTGAAATGCAGCCGAAGAGGCCGGAATTCGACCCCACGACCTTCAGGTCAGCAGTGTGGCACCACAACCTTTAGACAACCATGGCGGGTGAGAGAAATGCAATAGTAATAATGCAGTCACGATGATTTCGAGCAGAATACTAATGATCAAGCTTCGGAATGTGGACATCACTGGAAAGGAGAAAGCGGAGAATACGTCCGCCTCTAATCGTCACAGACTCATGTGCCAAACTATTGGACAGAAAGGGCTCTGTCAAGAACCACCTCCTCCTTCCCAGTCATTTCCATGTTCCCCTATTGTCACTAAAAACCCGAATCACTCAGCGCAGGCTAAACTGATCTTACCTCTATGTACCCCGAGGAGCAATTTTCAGACTCGCTGAATGTGAACTCTCTGAACTCAACGCGGGGCAGGTAGTTGCTCTTGACGCGTATTGTCCAGAGGCAGGTAAGGCCGCCTTCCGCTTCGCCCAAATCGGCTGGTGACACGATTGAACCCTCGCTCGCTTCGTACAGGCCACCGCACGCTGTGGAACAGACAAGAGCACATTATATTTTTGCCCCAAACTCTCGTCATCTCTTTACAAATGTTCAATAGTCACTGAGACCTCAACCTATTTGTGTACCTAACATTTGTATGTTCTTTAAAAGTACATGCACTACAATTTTATAGCTTTAAATCTCTCGCCTCAGTTGGTCTATTTTTGAAGTCCGAATAGCGCCTCGGACTCTGAAGATAATGTCACTGATTCTCGAGGACCAGCTCTGGCTGGTAGACAGGGCTCGCATATCAGCTGCAAGACATGGCTACCTCTGGGTGTAAGCCAGTCACCCACCTCTGGGTGAAGATGACGCGCCCCAGGGTCACACAATGAGATTTCATTATCTCTTTGTCATTTCTTCCTCCCCCACTAGAAGTAAGAAAATAACGCCGTGTGGAGCATAAAACATTCCAGCCGATAGCTGACTCACGCGTGGCTCTCATCTGGTAGGAAGCTTCCATGGTGTCTCGGCGCAGAGCGTGCTGTCGCAACTGAAGCGTCAGGATGCGGCGGGTGGACGTGATGACCACGGGCCCGTCTAGGCGGCACAGGTCGTCAAGAAGCGTCCGACGCTCGCCCTCACCTTCAAAAATCTGTGACCATTTAAAACAATGAAAAGATTTTACACAAGCGCCTTGATGCTCCGTCCGGAAGTCCTCATTCGCCGATTCGCTGTTTACAAGCTTATTTACGATGAACAACGTAAAGCTGCTCCTGGGTGGTGCATAAATAACCGCGGGACCTTCTTTGAGAACCAGAACGACTTACGGGGCAGATCGAGTAAAAAAACCTCGTCGGAAAACTTTAATTATTGATTGTTGCATAGAAAAATCTCTTAAGTTATCTGGCATCCTACAGTAAATATTTCTACCCGGTTCACTTGCACTAATAATTGTTTGTATTATTGCTTTTATTATTATCTTTATCACTGATTTAATTTTATGCTATTCCCCATCGCTATACAGAATAGCCTGCCAGCTGTTATATTGATGCCGGCAGAAGTCTGTCTTTCCAATGAACAGTCTCGCTCTCTACCCCCCCCCCCCAAAAAAAAGAAACAACTGCTGGCGAGAGGCATTTATTGTCTTTTATGCTCACATTTTTGAATCTGCGCCCGAATAAGTGGTCAAATAACCTTTCGAACACATTAGTAGGTGTATGTATGCATTCACTAAATGAAGAACCACCTTGTCTATGGAATGTGAGAAAAACACCGTGATGGCAGAGTTTTTTAAGGACTACACGGCACCCCTATATGGATTATATGGCACTCATACTGGGGCTCACACCATTATGAGCAGCTCATTACGTAAATTAGACAAGTTCACCATGAACTGATTGAAAAAGGGCACACAGTGATTGTCTAGTGGCTGCCTAGTCATTGTGGAATCTAGGGAAATGACCAAGCGGACGCAGCTGCCCGATCTGCCCGCAGCGGTCGCAGCAGTGTCACCATTCCCCTTCCGATATCTGACGCCGCGAAAAAACTTTGTGCTTGCCCGTCGTCTAACGTTGGACTTGTTGCAATTCCCGATATTCACAAGTCACTAGACATTTATTCTTCTTACCCTGACATACTCTGTTCTTCTACACTCCTCTTTTTCTCCTTCCCAAGAACAGTGTGGCCATATATATATATATATATATATATATATATATATATATATATATATATATATATATATATATATATATATATATATATATATATATATATATATATATATATATATATATATATATATATATATATATATATATATATATATATATATATATATATATATATATATATATATATTGTAGTGGAGCATACGCACCAACGCGTATGCGCCTTCGGAAGACAACAAAAAGCCCGTGCTCTGCTTGCGCGAGAGTTTGTGCCGCCTCTGCCAGACTTGCCGTACGCCCACTTTCCGTTGCGACCTCGCTGCGACTTCTCGGCTCGAATAAACGTCATCACATTTGGTGGAGGTGCTGAGATCCCCAAGAAGACCTGGAGCTCCGCTCTCGCAAGTTGCCTGAAAGACTACCGCGAAACATGACTGACGCAGTCGCCCACCAGCCCGTCCCAGCCCAGCCAGCACCATCGGCTGCCCCGTCGACCTGCCCCGGTGCTACCCGTCAGCGGGACCCACCAATCTTCAGCGGCAGTGGTGAGCAAGACGTCGAAGACTGGCTCTCCTTGTACGAACGCGTGAGTGCCAGCAACAAATGGGACAACGACTCCAAGCTTGCCTATGTCATCTTTTACTTGGCTGACGTCGCCAAGCTATGGTTCACCAACCGCGAAACCGCCATCGCCAGCTGGTCCACCTTCAAGACCCTCGTGACCGAAGCGTTCGGCCGACCAGAGGTCCGCAAGCTCCGCGCTGACCAGCGTCTGCGCCACCGAGCCCAGCAACCTGGTGAGACCTTTACTAGCTATATTGAGGATGTGCTCGACCTCTGCAGGCGTGTTAACTCATCCATGCCTGAAGAAGAGAAAATTCGACATATTCTCAAAGGCATCGAGGATGGCGCATTCCAGATGTTGCTGGCGAAGAGCCCGACCACGGTGGCGGTCCTCGTAAGCCTGTGCCAGAGCTTCGATGAATTGCGTCGTCAGCGTTCCATCGCCCGACAGAGTGTTCCATCACCAGATTCCATCTCGGCCGTCGCACTCGCCAATGGCAACGTTCACCAAGGAACTCTGTCGAACCAGATTAAAGACTTCATCAGGGAGGAAGTCGCCCGACAGCTTTCCCTGCTGCCGCATAGTGACGCGCCCACGACAAGCCTCCCCTCGAATATGCAGCAGGCCATACGCACTGAAATTTGCAATGCACTCCCTACAGTTCCGGCCTCTTACCCGTGCACTTCGGTGCCATCTGATCTCTCAACTGCTGGCTACGCACCAACTGCGCCGCCTTCACCTCTCAGCTACGCAGCTGTGGTCGCGCGGCCCCCACCGCATCCAGTCGCCTTACCGGCTCCAACTCCTCCGGCAGCGCCACCGGTTTACAGGCCCTCACCTCGCTTTTTCCGTCAATCTAATGAGTGGCGCACCCATGACAACCGTCCTATCTGCTTCGCGTGTGGCATCGCTGGCCACATTGCACGCTACTGCCGCCGCCGTCCCACACCTGCGTACGCCTCCTTTGGAACTCCTACCTATGCGTCGCAGCAGGCCACCTCGTCTGCATACGAACAGAGGCACTCTGACTCGGATCGTCGCCCATCAACTTCTCGTTTCCCATCTCCTCGTCGCCGATCACCATCTCCTATGCGTCGTAGACCACCTCCTGAGGAGGGAAACTAATCAGTGCAGTTCCAGAGGCAAGAACTGCAACTTCTGCGCAATTATCAAGGCCTCCATTTTCGCCGCGAAATGTTGTTGATGTCAATGTTGAGGGAGTCGCCACACAAGCGTTAATTGATACTGGGGCCGCCGTTTCTGTGATGAACGCAAAATTTTGTCGCAAACTGAAGAAAGTGACCACATCTCTCTGTGGCATCGTGCTGTCCACGGCTAGCGCGCAACGCATTCAGCCCTCGTCTGTGTGTACGGCGCCCGTCGTCATCCAAGACGTTTTGTACATCGTCCAATTTTTCGTACTACCATCTTGCTCTCATGACCTCATCCTGGGTTGGGATTTCTTATCAGGTCATGAAGCTATCATCGATTGTTGCCGTGCGGAAGTGTCCCTAGTGCCAAATTGTGAGTTTCCATCGCCCGACCATTCACCACTGCTCTGCAAACTCATCGCTGACGACGACATCACCTTGCCTCCGGAAGCTTCAGTCCCTATTAGCCTTTCATGTGTGGCGCAACCTGACGCCACGGTGGTATTTACGCCATCCCCTGTTTTTACTGAACGCAAGGGCATCGTGCTCCCATTTGCCGTTCTTACGATTGCGTCTGGTTTAACCGTAATGCTGGTTACCAACCACTGCAACTACCCCATTGGCTTGCTTCGTGGTGAAACGTTAGGATATGTGCAACCTGTCGACCATATCAATGATATTATTCTTCCCGACGAAACGCCATGTCAGATTGCCGCAATCACTCAGGCGTCTGAGCCATCAAGCTCACCAGCCTTCGACGATGCTATTGACGCAGACCTTCCCCCCTCGCATCGCAGCCAACTTGTTGCTCTCCTTAACAAGTTTCGCTCTTCTTTCGACTTTCAGAAACCTGCTTTGGGCCGCACCACGACTGTCACTCATACTATTGACACCGGCTCACATTCGCCTCTGCGACAGCGTCCTTACCGCGTTTCTGCCGAAGAGCGCCGCGTCATTACGGAGCAAGTAGATGACATGCTTAAACGTGGAGTCATACAGCCTTCTCAAAGCGCTTGGTCGTCACCCGTGGTTCTGGTAAAGAAAAAAGATGGCACCGTTCGATTTTGCGTGGACTATCGCCGCTTAAACAAGATTACAAAGAAAGACGTCTACCCGCTACCACGAATAGACGATGCTCTTGACTGTTTACAAGGCGCCGAATACTTCACATCCTTGGATCTGCGTTCTGGGTATTGGCAGGTGCCAATGGCTGAATGTGATCGCCCTAAAACAGCCTTTGTAACGCCAGATGGCCTGTATGAGTTCAAAGTCATGCCATTTGGGCTCTGCAACGCGCCTGCGACGTTTGAACGCATGATAGATACCATATTGCGGGCCCACAAGTGGAAAACTTGCTTGTGTTACCTAGATGACATCGTAGTCTTTTCAGCTGATTTCCCGACACATCTTCGTCGTCTCCACGAGGTTCTGGCGTGTCTAGCTTCTGCAGGCCTACAACTTAACACCAAGAAGTGCCACTTCGCAGCCCGCAAACTAACCATCTTGGGACATGTCATCACAAGAGACGGTGTTCTTCCGGACCCCGATAAGCTTCGAGCTGTCGCTGACTTCCCCATGCCCACATCACTGAAAGCCCTAAGAAGTTTCGTTGGTCTTTGCTCTTACTTTCGTCGCTTCGTGCGCAACTTCGCGTCCATCATTGCACCTCTGACTAGTCTGCTTTCCAACAGCAAAGGTATATCTGCATGGTCACCTGCATGTGACGACGCATTTCACCAGCTGCGCCGCCTGCTGACCTCGCCACCTATTCTTCGCCACTACGACCCTACTGCTGCCACAGAAGTTCACACTGATGCAAGCGGCGTTGGTCTTGGCGCAGTTTTGGCACAACGGAAAGGTACCCAAACCGAATACGTAGTCGCTTATGCAAGTCGCGCTCTTAAGAAGGCTGAATTGAATTACTCCGTGACAGAGAAGGAGTGTTTGGCCATAATCTGGGCGCTTACGAAGTTTCGCCCGTACCTTTACGGCCGTCCTTTCGATGTGGTCACAGACCACCACGCTCTATGTTGGCTGTCCACCTTGAAAGACCCGTCCGGACGTCTGGGCCGTTGGGCACTTCGATTGTAGGAATACGACATCCGTGTCGTATATCGTTCCGGTCGCAAGCATGCGGACGCCGATGCACTTTCCCGATCGCCATTAACACCAGATGTGGCTTCTCTGTCACCCCCTTTTACCACCTTGTCACCACTCGACAGCACTGACATGCTTTCGGAGCAGCGTAAAGACCCATACCTTGCCT